TTTAAATTGGGATTTCTAATTATCAATATCATTGCTTCACGTGGCTATTATGACACTGCCATGGTCTGTAACCACCATGTTCATAAAGTTACCTGTGATTTCATATTCCCTTCTGTTTCTCAATGGAGACACATTATTGTATTTGCATCCAGAAAAAAAAACTTTCAATTAGAATAATGTTTTTAAATTTACAGGAAGTTTGAAAATACATTTACTTTCTCTTTACTGTGAGCTTCACTGGCACAGTTAGAGGAAAAATATGCAAACTCATCATAAAATATGAGTAGCAGGGAAATGTATGTCTTTTAATACCTATATTTCAACATTATCCTGCCTGACCCTTCTCTGTTCTCAGTAATTCCCCGTACTTATTAGGATCATTTTTATGGTTCATATATGTCCCTAATAATACCTGCCTGTTAATGTAGACTCATGTTTTTTCATGCTGTTTATTTAATTAGGACAAGATTTGGAAATGTAATGGGAGCAAAAACAGAGTAGCTCTAGCTCTAGCCACCATATGAAAATACTGGGTGATAAAAGAAAAGGTTAGTTTTGACCCTCCAACCCCTCCCAAAAAATAAATGTTAGATTTCTATTTTATATGATGATATGAACAAAATCACTTGTTTTTTCTGGAATATTACAAATGTAATAAACAAAAATAGCTTAACAAGCTTTTAGCCAACTTTATGAACATGGTTATAAACCATGGCAGTGTCATAACAGGCACATGAAGCAATGAGAATGATAATTAGAAATCCTAATTTAAAGGACTGTAATCCTAATTTATGGATTTAAACAACATTCCAGGCGTTGGAGTGTTTTCCAGTCCATATTCCTCCAGGTTTCACAGAACAAAAACAAAATCATTGTACATTCTTTTGTCAAATGAAGAAACCAGGCCCTACTAGGCCATATGCTAAATAAAAATATACACCTTGATGCAAATTCTAGCTGCATTCAAAAACAACAAAAACATGAAGTGCATTAAGCATGTGCATCAGTTCAAAAAAAAAAAAAAAGGTGTGCTATTCTGTTTTTCACAAGTTGCGAGCAGGGAAGACAAGTGTATCCACCATCTGAGGTTTTAAAGCGTCCATCTAACAGGTCACAGTGTCCTCCCCTGAGCTAAATACCCTCTCAGAGGGTGTGCTGGTTGCAGGGATGCACAAATAGCACTTTGTGAGGCCGCCAAATCTGGGGAAAT